GACTCTTTCTGGCTAGCCTGCAGATGAGGACTTGCGCTCCGGAGCCAGACAACCTTCCCCGATGCCTCCAGGCCATGCTGGGGAGGGAAGTCTCTGAAGATCCCAGCATGGAGAGGGAAGAGGAAAACCTGGAGCTCACGGGTGATCTCATCCCTAGTCCTTTGCTTGGCCATGGGCTCCAATGTCTCCCCCTTCTCCCTAAAAGCCTCCCTCCACTCCCTTGAGGCCTCTAAACTCCTGCTGCTTCTCTTACCGTCTTACCTTAGTGCCCTTTTCTACACTCCTTCTTGTTCACTGCAGGCTGTTCCCCCTCTTTTCTCCCCACTTCCCCGTTTCTTAATCCTCCTGCTCTTGCTAGCATTTTGTGTGTAAAATAGTTTTCCAGTGGCACCCAGGCCTTCAGGATAGTCTAATTTACTCAGATTACTTGACCAAAAACCCTAGCAGGCTATGCCTGAATTAGCAACACACTCCCGTACTCTGCATTTTAAATCATAACACGTAGCTTAGAAGTTTGGCTATTTTATTCGTTGATTTTCGCCATATTCTCCACAAGCGTAGTTCCAGGTCAACTCTTCTCTAAATTATTGTTTCTCCAAAGGGGCACTGGGTGCCATGTACTGCCTGGGCAGTAGTACATGGAGAGCTGTGGCTTGTCCCCCAGGCCTGTTGGCAAGCTTGACACATCCCAGGGGATCTTGTGGCTTCGCTTTGGCCAAGGCAGGAGGGCTCTTTCCTGTGAATGCTCCCCTGTGAGGACTCAGTTTGACATAGGAAGGCTCGGCTCCCGATGCAAATTAACTGCAAGCCAGCCTGAAAAAAAAAAAAAATCGAACTGGTTTTAGGAACGCTTAGAAAAGGCAGACTTTTAAAAAGAAAAAAGTCAGCTTTAATTACTCTCGAGCACAACTGCTATATCTGGCCATAGCCAATGCCTGGCTTCATTGCCAGTCACAACCAGCCACCTAACTTCCTCGCCGAGAAAGGAGGAGTTCAAGCTGTTTGAGAGGTATTGGTACTGACTAGCCTTGCAGAAGAGGAAAAATCACCTAGTTTCCTCTACAGTCAGTGAGGAGAGAGCTCTTCCAGGCAAGGGTCCCAGGCAGCTGCCTTCTGCAGGATATGATTTGGGAGAGCCCTGGGGATTGGTGTGATGACCCCAGAATTAGACTTTCTGACTGTATCACCTCCTGTCACATTAGACAAAAGGGCTCTTTTGTCTAATTGGAACTCATTTAGCAGGCCTTAGTCCATCAAAAATAAAAAACACTGGAAAAAAATTGATATCCCCAGGAATAGCTGCTTAGCAAAGCATGAGTAAAAGCTGCAGACATTACAGGTCTAGCTTGGTTTAATCAGTTTAGTAAGAAACGAGGTAAACAGAAAACGTCCGAGGTGAGCAGTCAGAAGTGAAAAGCGAGCCAGGGCTTTCCCTGAGCAAAAGTCAGCACACCAGCTCGATCGCAAATGGTTTATATTTGCTGCCTCTATAGGGAAGAAGGTAACTGTGTGTTCCTAGTAGATGTATTTGTTGATCTTGTGTAGGTGAGCGTAATTTGTGTTGGCAATTTCCTTTTTTAGATTAGGACAATTTTATAGTAGCAATACGATAAAACTAGAACAGGTCTCTTGTGAATTAGTGTTCCTTTGACACGGAAATTGTCTTCACGTGAAAGTTTCCCATCTGCAGATTTCCTAGGATCTTTTCTAAAATTTAGTTTATAAACAGAGGTAAGACTTTCCTCTCTATTAGTGGCTACTCAGAGAATTCCAAGGTTAAGTGTAATATTTGTTTTTTTCTCATTATCCACATAATCATAATTTCATAGTGCTGTGAATTCTTCATATCTTTATTGCAGTACTTTGTATTTGCTCTTGGCGTTGTGTGTCTGAAATATCACAAAACATTCTTTTTGTGCGTAAAGGAAGAACCTAGTTTGTTTATGGCAGGTTCCCTGCAATATCGTGGATCATGCCTGGAGACCAACACCATCCACATTTACTGCAAGACAAAGTCTTCAAGGAGCGCTACATGCAGGAGCTCTGGAATTCAGTTTATTATAGTCTTGCCAGTCACAAATCACGTTCTGGTGTCAGAAGAGCCGAATTTCATATTTAGCAAAGAAAACAGGAGTCATTCAAGAAATACCTTGCCTGGCTGAGCAAGCTAAATTTAACAGCCATTAAAAATACCTAGCCCTCCCTATTCTTTTCACTTCATATTGTTGACAAATGTCTCAGGTACTCAGGTTATGCACTAGCCTCAGGCCTTGTCCCTCTCTTGCTTCCTCTCTTAGTACATGCATTAACATCTGCTTCTTTACTTAGGGGGCTTCTGTCTCCCATCGCTGCAGTATCTGCATACCATAATCTTCATTTAAGAGACGTGTGAACGATAGTATAATGGTAACGCGGCTCAGTGATTTAACCAGAGGTGAGACGTCAGCAATGAAGCATTAATCAGAGTTCCCCACCAGGTCCAATCATTATTTAACATTACTTCAAAATTCCTGTACAAACAGGAATACAAACTCTGCTTTGCTATGCTGCATAACCTCAAACGCTGGATGTTTATAAGACTGAACAGAGAGCAGACAAGCAAGCAACCATCAGTGTTAGAAGCTACCCTGACTTCACAAGATTGGTCCTAAATGAAATAAGACTTCAGGCACCAGATAACCTAATCAGAATTTCACAGAATGCCTCTCTAACCTTTCAGAATGATCTCGATTACAGAGAGTCTGCACTGGAACCCTCATTTCTGTTCTGCCAGGCATACAATCGCCTGCCTTTCTTCACCAAGTTATCAGAAAAACACTGGCAATGCTACGGTCCAACAATTACATCAGCTTACCATGCTCAGACAACTGGAACACACCAGGGTTATGGTTAGACATTCGTTAGGATTATATGGGTCTCTGGCTTTCTGGAAACTTTGAGGACCCATTGAGAAGCAGAGTTGGGGGAATTCATTCCTATTTCATGCTAGTTGTGGTACAGTTGGAATCGCGATATAATTTTAATTTTGGAATTCACTAGATACTGTCTATATCACCATCAAAAATCTGTAAGTTAAAGATGGGGCCACATGAACTTAAACCAGCTATGTTTCTTTAGAGATAGTACGTCCCCATCGAAGAAAAGTTAGAGTAAAGCAAAGCTGTCAGGACAACTCCTTTCTTTCCCCATGTGTGAAAATGTTGAAAAAGGAAGTAATGATCTGAGAAAGTCTTTCGCTCTCCCTGCATGTGATACTGCAACAACCAGTATTAGCAAAGACGTGAAGGGAAACAGTTCCTCTTTTTACACGGGGAAGCCAGCATCTTAAAATATCAGAGATTTATTGTTGTACACATTCCTCCTGCTTTGGTCTAAAAACTGTATCCCCAAATTGCCAAGAGTATAATGGCTATTAAC